AAGTATTAAAAACTCAAAAGTACTAAAAATGTATATTTGCAAATTGAAATAAATTAACGTGTAAGTCTCCGGAAAAATCCGTAATTTATGTAACCATATCTTTCGAGAAAAGCATGAATTCGTTTAACTAGTCCCACATCAGCTGTAAGTTCACTTTTTTATAACCATCAAAAAATTAAAGTACAAATGCAAACAATAAATAAATATTCAGTAAATAATACTTAGGAAAAGTTAAAATTTTTCTTCTAAAATTTTATTTCATATGAGGACTAATCACAAAGACCATAAACATAAAACAAAATAATTTTTCGGCATCTCTTCAAATCGAATAAATAAAATTATTAAGCGATTTCAAATCTCAGATAATGAGAGAACAAATATAAAACCTACTACTACAAGAACTTGGAACTCCATCCAATACATTTCGAACTGTTAATTCAATCTGCGGTTCGAAATACCAAATATGAAGCTGAAACTTTAAAATTAATAAAAAATAAATTTTTACAATAAATTAGAAATGCTTCTACAAAGAAAATATAGGGCAATCTCATTTGAAGAAATCAAGATAATATTAAATAATTTTATCAAGCAGATAATATTAAATAATTTTATCAAGCAGATAATATTAAAGTAAATAAATGACGTGCATACCATCTTATTTCGTAGATAAAGGTAAATTTTGAGTGTTGCGTCATTAGCTGAAACGTCGGGAAAAACAGCCAATTCTTGAGCCGTAAGTTTATCCACTGGCATCCTAGCATTTCGTGCACCAAGGTACAAATCTAAAGCAAAACTATTTTTGCAATACTCGCCATCTTATTCGCCAAACATTGTTTAAAAAGACAAAGTGTAGCTTTCAAAGAAAATTGTCTCCAGTTTATTCCTTTAAATCTGTATGCTTGTAATTCAACGCAGAAAAGAGAAAAAAGGGAAATCTGCTGGCATTCTATATCGCAGCATTTAATATAAAGAGAAAACAAAGCTAAAATGCACGAGGCAACGGTTGAAGATAAATCGTGCCAGTTTTTGGGAAATAAACGTTTTCATAATCGGACGACAGGCGAGGTTCAACTTATCGACTAGAGTGCGAGCTTGTTTCGAACAAGAATAAACTTGCTGAAAAATCTGCGTAGTGCCGGCAGCTTCTCTGCGTTTTCCTCGCCAGTGTCTCCACTTAAAAAATGCACTGCATCAACAGCAACGATGGGCGCTATTTCTAAGCACTTATTTATTTCGCAAGTTTCATGCGACGTGGCCGCTCATTTAGTTAATTTGAACGGAAAACGTCATGGAATTTGAAAAGTAATAGCATAAAGCAAGAAGCAATGTGCTAAAATATTTTTGCAGTGCAAGATTTACTCAACGTTATTTTTAAACCAGCAGTGGCTGACGAGGAGAGAAATATTTACAGAAACAAATGTATAAATATATTCAAAAATTAAAGATGCGAATAATGCGAACCAACGCAAGAAGTGCGTTTGTCATGAAATCATAAATTTTAACGAGATAAAACTGCAAATAAAACCACAAACCACCGTCTTCCCATTCTAATAAACTCTTGTTTGAATACACATTGGTTCGCGCATTGGCGCTTTCTGCGGACTCATTTCGTGTTGAATTAGAGTGCGTCGAATCCTCCATTCGGCTTGAATAAAAGCGAGTAGAGCGCCGTCTCTGAACGACAAATAAACGACGCAAAATTTAATTCACCTTACCGGACAGAACGGAAAAAATTTGACGAATTCAGCAAAAAACCTAACTGAAATTGTTTCGCCAAAAGCGATCACTCAATGTTAGAATTATCGAATATTTTGAAAGCAGTATAGAAGCACTTCTTTGACGGATTACCAAACATCTTCAAAAGATTCGCTGCAATAAAATTTCCAGTTTTTTAAGAGAGTGGAGGAAATGCCCAAATACTTCGGCCATTTTCTTGATTCTTCCAAAATTTGAATTATACCAAATCTGAGCCGTGCAGTAGCAACAATAAATATCAGTCGACGGACACTTCGCCGACCGAAGGCACTCAAAACATAAGCCACCACTACGGCCGCTCTTGATTATTCTTCTTCAGCTATGAAAAGAAAGTTTTCGTGGTTAAAGAGAAATTTTCTAAGGTTAAACGTTAAAGTAATATTAAATTAGAACCAAACACCGAACGTAGTCAAGCAACACCGATTCAACCAAATTTTGAATCCATGAAATTAATGAACAAATCAAAAATTTGAGATGGGAAATGACAGGTAATTTCCAAATAGAAATGGTTCATTCATTCATAAATTTTATAATTTATTCAGTAGTTTATTCAATTAATTCTCAAATATTCGTAATAACGAAACACGAAATGTTGGTTAAAACAACAAATGAGCAATTAATATTTAATGAATTTACTGAACAATTTTTTAAAACGAAACGAAAATTAATTGATTATATCTTCAATTACATCCAATGAATAATAATAATAATGAATACGAATATTGCTGGCGATGATTTTTAAGCAATTAGTTGTTTATTAATTATTGTTTATAGAGTAAAAACCACTTTATAGCAAATAAATCGCGCGATTTATGCTGAAAAAAAGCATTAAAATTTTTGTAAAAAAAAAGGTTGCAAATTTCAAATTATCATATTACCGTACGCCGGCAATTTCTTTTTTGTTGAGCCGCAAATAAGGCATCGTTTCTTCAAAAGCAAATTTTGATTCATTTCTAATTTCTCGATTACTCCAATTAAATTTTAGGGAAACAGTAGAAAAGAAAGCTCCTAATCTTTCATTAAGAAAACTTGGAATTTGAAACTTGGAATGGCAAAAAGCGGAACTGACAAAATATATACCAAAGTTAATCCTTAAGTTTCAGAAAACGAGACAAATTTTTGCCGTATTTGCCGAGTTTGCCGAATTTTTATCGACCTTTATCGCATCCTGCTATAAATGAATCAATCAAATGAATAAAACATTCATAAATTTCGAAAAAAAATTTTCCAAAGAATTTCTTAGATAAAGTTTTATTATGAACGAAAAAAAGATAAAAATTGGCCAAAATTGGCTAAAAGTAATAACAAAAAAAATATTACTACTTCAGAGTATCCACCATCAGTTTCCAAATGATTACAAAATTTAAGAGCATTATCATGTTCTAGTGCGAAATCAATATCCATATCCTCAGAACTGCATATAGCTTTAAATAAACAAAAAACAATTAGTGAAAATATATAAAATAAATGTGGAGCAATACAATTAATAAACTGGCTTGGGCGCCTCATTACTTTATAATCCACGAAACACGTTTATAGCTAAGAAAAACTTTTAAAAAATCCAAAAATAAACTGAAAAATGCAACAAGATAAATGGAAAAAATCGCTGAATATCGCAGAATAAGTCCAAAAAAAAGAAAAAACATACGTTCATATATGAAACGACGACTTTCTCTTGCTTTAATGAAATCACGCCAAAGAGCAACTGCAATATCTCGAGCCACGAGAATATTTGTATGAGTATGAATGAATCGCATCAACTGCAATCCATCAGTGCGTAAAGCATTACTTATAAATGACAGCTTGATAGCATGATAACTTTCACCTGAAGCAAATTTGATGAATATAATGGTTTAATAAAGCATTTCAAATGACTGACTTTTTTTTGAAGAGAAAATACAAAATTTACGCATTATTTCTTCACTAATTACATAACATATATAAAATATTAGCAATATCAAAAAAAGAATATTAAAAAAAATATTTTTTATGGAAGAAAATCTACAAAGAAAAGATGAATGAGAAGCTGCTGAATATTGCATTTTGTTATTTGCATTTTCAATCGAAAAATCCTTCACCATATATCGCCTGAAAATATAAACTGAATCAACGAAATACAAGGATGTAAAATTGAGGAATTCTTTAAGAAATAAACCAATTTACTACCAAATAATCATTAAGAATAACGAATATTTCGAATATCTTTTTGTATAACTTTTTTCTATTAACAGCTCTTACCATTACTGGTTAAGGCTGGCTCCGCTGGCTACGAGAGTAATACGTCGCCAAGCCGTTCGATCCGACGGCATCCAGTAGTAATAAAAGCCATTCTTTTTTCCATCATCTAAGCCTATATATTGCTGATTCATCTATACGTTCGAAATCTTTCCTAACCGTATCAGTCCAGGTCTTGATTGGCCCACTTCGCTTTTGACGCCAACCACCATACGGTTTAGCAAGTAACGTAATATGCGTCAACTCCTGTGGTGGACGAAGCGTCCTAACCAGCGAAGATGACGCTCAGTGATAACATTATTAATACAGGTGGTATTTGAGCGAAGATGGATATAATCATGTGCGATTTTATCCGTTCAACGGGTCCGTAAAATGTACCTTAGACATGAGTGGTCAAAGGTTAATAGCTTCTTAATATCTTCCATTCTAATTGGCCATGTTTCACAGCCATATAGCAAGATCAAACAAATTGGAGCTATATGGACTAGGATTTTAGTCTTTATGATAATTTCGCGATGGTTCCATCAACCGAAAAACATAGTTCTAGCTGTCGGTATCCGGTTATTTAGGATTTCTTTTGCCTGGCCATTTGGGATCAGAATAGATCCAAGATATCTTTTTGTATATGAAAATAGTAAAAAAATAAAATTTTTCCCAATATTCAATTTATTCTTTAAAAAATAAATAAGATGGATAATTTAAATTGTGATAAAAGAAGAAAGGACAAATCATTTCAAAAAAATTTCCAGTGCTAGTCGTTGTAACACAGACATAGTTTGGTGTATTTATTTATGAAGAACCGAATGAAAAAGAGAGAAAAACACTAACCCCATTTTCAAGGGAGAAGTTAAACATGATGATCGAGAATCGTATAAACAACAGTCTAAAAAGGGCATTAAATCAATTCTACTGTTAAAACTAAAATAAACTTTCAGTTGTAAGTCATAAATAATGCTGGATATAATAATAATAGCGAATTCGCAACAAAAATTATCAATAAACAGAGAATTTTAAAAAACACCAGAAAATTCGCATTCACGACTTTTGCAATCAGCATCAAATCCTTCATGATTTCCATCCTGAAACTTAAAATACTTATGAAATATAAAGAGAATAAACGAGCAAAATGTATTAATAGAATTTTATTCTAAAGAATTACAAAAAAATCATTCAATAATTTAGTAGTAAAAAAAGTTTGTAAGAAATAATGATCACCATGTGGTTTTATGCCATACTTGATTCTTATAAATAGTGATTTAACTTTGTAGAGATAATAATAATAAGTAATAAGTAATTTTACCAAAAAATGGCTGAACCATGAATGGTTCCCCGGAATTAGTTCAGCCATTTTTTGGTAAAATTACTTATTAAGAATTCTTTTAAAATGGAAATATTATAGAAGTTATAAAAAAAAGAGGTGATACACCAACATGATCTTATAATAATACAAAAAATGAATATAAAAAAAATTATTATTGAACTGAGTATTAATATATTGGAGACCCAATAAAATTATAATGGAACATAAATTTCATTATAAATTATAATGAAATTTGTTTTTTAAGGTAAAACATTGGTTTTTAGTGAAAATTAATTTTATATATTAAAGAATAACAAAGAATAACCGTGAAATAGAAGAGAGCTAAACGATCACGAAACTGTGGAACAAATAAGACAAGAAACGTATATATAACGTTCACTGACGTCAATATAAATAGACACAACAGCCACAGCGTCAAGCATATGAATATCTAAATTTTTTTTAAAGCCAAGAAAACGTTGTACAATTTTTATTTATATTAAAAACTAGTAATATAAAACGCTTTAGTTTGAAATTTGATTTGTAATAGATTTTTTAGGACCAATGTTTAAAAATTTTTCAGCAATTATCTAACTTTTCTGTCTATAATTCTTCGAAAAGTTCAAGTTGAAAATCATCAAATTTTATTTTTAGAAATATAAATTAAATAAAATATCTTAGACATTCACCAGTTGAACGTTCTATATTATTGAATTAATTGGTTAATATAAATTTAATCTAATAATAAAGTAAATATCAAATATAAATAATCACTGTTCACCAAATAACTTTTAAATTTATTTGATTTATTTTTCAAAAATTTTTTTAATGAAAAAATCTCAAAAAAGAACTAACTTTTTCATTAAACATGTTGATTGGAAGAGTACACTGTACCGTTTTTCGTTGGACATTTCCTAATTCAAATTTATCGTAATCACAAAATACAATATAAGGAAAGAAACCTGTTTCTGTCCAATCATCTCGAGAGATATTAAATGTAATTAACTGCAAAATTCAATAAAATTATTACACAATAAAAAAGCTGAAAATTTTTAAAAAATATACATTTTCGGATAGATAATACATACCTATATTTTTAAATACATTACGTACCTTAGGTAGCAATTTGTTGAATTTGTTGAATTCAAAAAATACAAATAATTATCTATAATAAAAATACCTTGATGAACCATGAAAATTTGTAATCTCCAACAAACATTGTGATTATATAAAACTGCAAAAAAATATTTCCAACGTTTAGAACCTTTTGTGCGATGTATAATAAAGAAGATATTGCTCCAAAACTGAAATGACAAAGTAGAAAAGCTTTTGAGCGATGCGCTGCATATATCGAATTCTGAAAAACCATCATCATTTGAGTAACAAATTTTAGCAATAAAAGGAAAATAAAATAAATAAAGAATTTATAAAAATCGACATTTCATTCTTAAACAGCAAAAAGAAACCTCCTCAATGTACTGCACAACATCATTCATAGCATTCATCCGTTTTTCGCCAGTAAGTGAACGAATTTTGCTCACATCATTCAAAACAACTTCGAAATCCACACCTAAATAGAAGAAATTTGATAATTTTTCCAATTAATAACTAATTAAATGATTAAATTGAAATAATTCAAACAAAAGATTATTAAATTACTAAGAAATTTTTGCAGTGATATCCAGAAAACATGAGGGCAATAAAAAGTCAATGATTGAATTGCCAATAAAAACGGAAACCACTGAAAAAAAACTATATTTGTTAAAAAAGGATATGAACAAGGTGATTCGCATAAAATAAAAGTCGTTGTCGAAAAATTCAATTTACTTAAGAAAAACAAAAAATTTCACCTGATAATAATTTTCATAAAATCTCTCAGTTGTTTGATTTGAATGAAAGAAGTCTTTAATACTTGCTGAAGGCACTAATGAATAACGTCCAGAAATGAAACAGAAAATATGAACATATGCATTCCAAGAGCCTAAAAAGTCCTCGATTATCAAAACTTTTAAAAACTGAACTCTTTTTTTTTCTTTGCTGTTAAAAATTAATTCTAAATCAATCTTCGTTTTATCTAAAAAGCTTAATTATTTAAAAATAATAATTGGTGGTAAGCAATTTTGAAAGATTAATTTCAAATACTTCATTATTTTCAACCAAAACAAAAAATTTTTCAAAAAAGAAACATATCTGTGTACTGTTGATCGACGAGACAGCTAATCGGTTTACCAAAATATTGTTTTAAACCAATTAATAACGAGAAAAATAACAGCAAAAAAACTGTGTAAAAATAGTTGCATCGATCTGAATAAAAAAGTATTTTTAAAAAATTAAAAGTAAAATAAAAAAACTAACAATAACAGTTTAGACAAAATTTAGAAGCCTTTAACGAATGCCTAAATTACTGCTTGCTGCTCCGAATATTAAGGCTCGAACTTCGTCTCCTGTCAATGTTTAGACCCTGGAACTCGGGCGGTACCACGGACTCACCTGTCGCCAAATGACTCCCTGGCAAAACCCTTCCCAACGAGCAAGGAAGGAAGTGAACGCAAAGGATGGGAGCCTAATAAATATTTTTAACATAATAAACGCAGAAATATTAAATACAAAGTCGAATAATTAATAATAATTAAAAATTAATAATTAAAAAAAATCAAAAAATTTTTTAAAATTTATTGTTTTTCAAATTTCGTCCACCAAAAATTTTTTTAAATTTTTGAAAATTTTTGAAAAAAATTTAATTTTTCGAAGAAAAGAAGAAAAATGTTGAATGAAAAAAATTTTACCAGCAAAATCATCGAGTTTCGTTGCTAATAAATTCGAAAATATTTTATTCAACTGCGATATTCTCATTTTTCAACCAATTGATTTAATCTAAACTTTCAAATTTTAAATTTCAAAGGACCAATATGATTCAAAGCATAAATAGATGCGTGGTGGACTGTGTGAACGTCAAAAAAAGTGATGAGAATCTGAATTAAATTGGACAAATCGCTCTGCAGATTTGCGCCAAATGCCTCCTAATTGCTCCCCTAATCACCGGTGAAAACAGTTAGTGAATTAGCGATGGCGCGAACTGTTTAAAGACGAAAATCAGAAATAATTCTTCTATTTATGGGTTTAATGACAGAAATTTTTCGATAAAAATAACTTAAAAATTTAATAAAATAAAAAATATTGAAATTTGAAATTGCAAACAAAAAAATGAAAAATAAAAAATGAATTGGATTAATTGGATGTTTCAAATAATCGTTTATTTATTTATTAATCTATTTTTTATTTTGAAAATTGAATAAATCAGATAAAATTCAAAAATTCGTTCAGTAATTAATAAAATATTTCGAAAATTCTTTTTTTTCCAAAATTCCTTTTATAATGAAATCGCAATTTTTCTTTTTTTAAATGCTTTTTCGAAATCACTAGCGAAAATTAAAATTAATTTCAATTAATCTTTTAATTAATGTAAAATTTCCATATGCCGAAGCCGTAGAACCAGCGGCTCACCAAAGCCGCAAATCACCGTTTACTCGCCGTTCAATTCTCGCTTTTCTCGCTCGTCCGCCGGATAGAACCGTGCAGAATGCTTCCGTCTTATATGACTGCTCAAGTCTGCATTGCTTTTATTTCCTCAGCGATTCTTTATCGTGGCACTATTATTTTGTTGCCAAATATTTCTTGCATCTGCGTTCTTCTATGGTACTTTTGGCACTTCTCAGTTTCCAGCATTTCGTTACGGCAGCCGCACCTTATACTTTATCAATATGATGATTTCGACGCCACATTAGATGAGATGGAAGCATTTCCTACGGCTGAGACTTGTCGATTTGCTTATTCAGCCCACTGGCCTGATGTTGTAAATTCAAAATGCAAAAGATCAGTAGAACGTGATAAACATTATCCGATTGTTAGTCATTACAACAAGGTGAAGCAGGCGAATCTGAAATGTAATCAGAATGCGTAATAATGCTTAATAGTTTGTAATTGATAATAGGATCAATGATAATTGCCATTATTATAGGTTATTGTATAAAAATAGTAATACAATAAGTGCATAACATAATTATGAATAACAATAAATAATGCCAACCGTAAAAAGAATTAATCAATAATATCAATAAGTGATTAATAGTGAATAATTAACAAACAAAAAAATAAAAAATAATAAAAAACAACAGTAAACAATAAATATTTAATAATAATTAATAATAACTGACAATAACAATTTCATTGTCTATTTTATTATTTTCTCAAAATTTAATTTTTTGCCATCGGCAGGAGCAAACCTGTCATGTCAAAAATCCGGGCGGTTGCTGAGGACTCACCTCTATTCCCAAATGATTCTGTGGCGAAGGTGTTTGATATTTTTGATGCGGCGTCTCCCGACGCGCATGACACTCCGAGCCTGGTGGCACATGCAATATGGGAAGCACAATCCGTGCTTGAAGCGATTTCAAGGTTGATAAATAAAATATGCTCGCAAGCCAGGGTAAATGTTCGAAACCTATCAAGGAAAGCAGCTCACTGCTCGTGTGGCGAGGCCATATCAGTGTGGAACGTCAGAACACTTATGGACGTTGCAAGCCAAGCGATCAGTGTCCACACCCTTTCTAAATATCGTGTGAATATCGCTTGCTTGTCGGAGGTCCATCATCTTCCGTATTTCGGGTTTCGAGTGATTATTAATCCTGGCTCGGAGCAGAGGTACTAGCTATATCACTATGGTGATAACTCTGAGTGAAATAGCGTAGCGATTGCCATGTATGACAAAGCCCATTCTGCTTTGATTGAGATGGAAACCGGTAAGCGATCTTATGGCCTATACTTTTTAAAGGTAAGTTCTAAAATATTTCGGTCAAATATCAGTGATTATCAGTGACACCAACTTTGTCGGCAGATGACCGTGATAAAGACCGTGATAAGTTCCATGCGGAACTTCAACTGCTAACAAATCTACCAAAGTCTCTAACAAAACATGGCATGGTCATAGCCGTGGGAGACTGGGATGTGCGTAGGATACAATGGCGCTGCGATGACCTCTACAATTGGCAAATATGGCATCGGAGACCGGTGCGCCAATGCGGAACGCCTTCTTCATTATGCCGAAGAGCATGAACTTTTTATTACTAATACTTGCTTCCGGTATCGTAGAAAGTATCTAGTCACGTAGAACCTCGAATAACCAATATTTCAACCAGATTGATTATATTTTAGTCGGTCACCGTTGGAAGAGTTCCGTACTAGATAGTGGTTCCTACCGCGACGCTGAAACGGGCAATCTTCATGGATCTGACTATGTTATGGTTCGAACCAAGATCCGCATAAAACTGACAACTCGAAGAAAACAGCATCCCCTTAGATCCTTCGACTATCTCAAACCAAAAAATTCGGAGACAGTGAGGGCATTTCAAACCGAATCATTGAAGCATCTCAGTGATCAAATGAATATTGATCCAAACTAAAGGAATATCTCCGAAAATCAGCCACTTCCACACTAGGCATACTTGTAGGAAGTGTGCTAGTTGGGTATCGGAAATAATTGTCCAACTGTCTGAAAAAGCTGCCAAAGCTCGAATATCAGGAGATCCTGACTATCGGGTGCTTCGAAGATTTGGAACGAAAGCAGCACGGCGGAACAGAAATCACTATTAGAGTGACATGGCCTCAAGAATGGAGGCGGCGGCTCGATTAAGCGATAATAGGAAACTATTCCGCATTCTTCATAAAGCAATTATAATTCGCGGAACAACCAGTGAAATGGTAAGGGACAGCAATGGCGTGCCGGTTAAGAGTATTAAGGACTGCCTCATAAGATGGAAATAATTCTTTGAGGTCAAACTTAACCATGAAGTGCCATCTGTTGCCCCTGATATAACTGATACTAGTAGTTCGTTGAACCATATGCTTTCGACTGCGAGCTCCCGACAGAATAAGAAATAATATCTATTATCCATAAGCTTAAGGCCAATAAGATGATCTTTGGGCTGAACTCTTTAAATATTGTCCATCGTCCTTCATAACACAAATGTATAAATGTATTCTCTGGTAGGGGGATATGGGAAAAAGAAATATTACCAGATGATTGGAGCAAAACAATTCTGCTCCCAATTCTCAAGAAAGATGATAGGATATACTGCGACAATTATCGAGAAATCAGCTTACTAGATGCCTCAGTGAAGATTTTTGTTTCCCTTTTACTCAACAGACTTATGGAAGTACGAGATAGCAGGATGCGCCCTTAATCAAGCTGGATTTAGACCGGGGCGCGGTTGTGCTGACCAGATATTCACGTTAAGAAAGGTGTTGGAGAATCGCTTCAAATATTTACAACCCACTGTCACGTGTTTTATCGACTTTGCGGCTTTGATTGAATTGATAGAAAGGCGCTTTGGAGGGTGATGGAATGCGACGATGTTTCAGAGAAGACCATTCGACTCATAAGGGCATTTTATGAGCGTACATCGGCGCAGGTCTGCGTATCTGGGGAACTCCTTCGAAATAAGAACTAGCATCCATATTGAAGAGGATAAAACGCCTCTTTTTATAAATTCATTGCCGGTTGAAGAAATATTCGATTTTAAATACCTTGGGTCCACTATAATATCAAATGGCCAGGCAAAAGACGATATTACAACTCGGATCACTGCAGCTAGAAATGCGTCCTTCCGGTTGACGAAACTTTATAGAGTCGTCGCAAAATCACTGCGAAAAAGAAAATCTGCCTTTATATAGGTGCGATTTGCTCGATCTTGCTACGTGGCTGTGAGACATGGCCGAAGAGAGTGGAGGATGTTAAGGAGCTATCTGCATTTGACTATTCAAAATTAAGATATATTTTATGGTTCGCCGAACAGATAAAATCTCACATGATTGTACCATATTCACTTGGTAATAGAAATACAGATGGATCATCGATATTTAATAGCTTTTATCATTAGTTAACAGCGATTAGAAATGGTGAGCGTCAATCGCTTACTTATTTCTTTTACAACAAATAATGGAACATTATAGGTGCAAAGTTTACGATGAAACAATGAAAACCAGCAAAAAAATTGGTAATTTTCCACAAATTTTTTCGAAAAGCTTAACGGTTGGTTCTTTAATTTTTTTTCCATATTTCAAAATCCAAAATTTTTCTGATTTTTACAGTTTTTTGCATAAAATATGAAAGTTTCCCTTTCCTTTTTGTTGCTTTCCTTCTTTTTCTTCATTAAAATTTGTTTCTTTTTGCAATTGCAGAAAATCTTTATTCTTAACGTTCCAGCGAAATCTTTAGCGGTTAATTTGAAATCGCAAAAATATTTCAAAACTGTGTGGAACTTTAGAAAATTCAGCTTATTTGCGGTTAGAAAAATAATGACCATGTATTTTTCAAATGTTATAATTATACCTCTTATAAGCTGAGTGGATGGTAGTTCAAATCATTGCGTTTAGAGGTAATTTCATTAAAAACTCTCTTATGCTTCCTGGCAAAAGTTACTAACTGTACCAGTCGAGAAAACCTTAACATAAATGGTGAGTGTTCACTTCTCTTACCTGCCATATAAATATTTTGTACATATAATAAGAATGGTTTTCGTCCGGAAATATACGCTATTAAATTTTTATACTGTGAGAAAATTGAAAAGCACTCTGAAAAATGTATCGAATCGTCAAGCAAACCATCATTCGCTGGTTAATTAATTAATATTAACATATGTCAGAAATAAAATCCAAGCAAAGAACGAAAAGTAAATGTTGACGCCGAAAAGAATTATTAAAAATATCTACAAATTGACAAAGAAAGCACTAAGTTTCAATAAAATTTAAAATAAATTTAGTCATTTGATTTATTATTGTCGTTTTCAAATAATAAGGCATTAATCATTATTTGGAATATTCGTTCAACGTAAGGAGCCAGCGAAACGGACTTAGCTAGTAATGGTGACCCTTCAAGAAGAAAGCATAATAGAGATATGGAAAAATTTGGAACTGTCATTTATAGAACCAAATAGGAGAATATTCCAATTTCTGGGACCGAAGAGTAAGAATTTTAGGTTTTTAATTAAACTTTAAAGAATTTTGCCTTCTATTTGATTAGAAGTGGTTGTTGTTTGTGCTTTGAGTTGCGTAATCTTGTAATAATATAATTTTATATTTTTTAAAAACTGGCGATTTCAGCGATTTCTAATTTCAGTGATTATATCTGCTGAGAACAAATTACTTAAAATTTGGACTTCCCCTAAAAAGTCAGCCTTCTCGCAAAAAATGTTCTCCCCACAATTTTTATTTATTAATTCGCTCAAAAAATTGGCAAAAACTTATTTCCCATCGAAATAAGAGTATACCATAACAATATCGACGACAAATTTTTAAAAATCCAACATTTAAGAGAGTAAAACTTAAAAAAAAAAAGTATATAGTGTAGCAAATATTTCTGAAAAAATAACCAAATATTTACTCTGATTACTCTTTCTTATTCAATCTTTTAAACTTTTTATAACCATATTAAGACTTCTCTTTTCCCGATTTTCCGGACTGATTTTCTCCCAATCCCCTTAAGCATAAATTGTATAATTTTTGGCATCAAAGACAATGTTAACAATCATAAACGATATTTTACAAATGTTTATTTTATTTTACCGATTCCATTGTGATGAAAATAAAAACAAACTTTTCTTACCTCTCAAGAAAAAGTTTTTGTTTAATGATTCATCGAAATGCATAAAATGAAAAGAGAAGTTAGAGGACAGTCATAACATTACGCTGTGAATCTGTTTCATTTGTCATGCTTGCTGTTGACGTGGTTGGAAATGATGATGTAAGATGATGTTGCAAAGAAGCAGGAGTTGCATTTTGATCAAAGATATCATCCAGGATAAACTCTGAAAGCAACGAATCAACCTCCGCCAAACCAAAGAATTTTGTTAACGTCATATTGTCAATAAGCAATTGTGTCAACGATTTGAGTGCAGGTGCAAGTAAGAGAATATTTCCATAACGCGTTGGTGCTTCTTCTGGCATATTTTCAACAATAAATGAATATAATGCTTTTAAGACATTATTTCTTGCATCTCGAATTACCTAAAAATTTTTTTATATTACATTTAAAGTTTAAATTCTTCCTTGACTTTTGTCTGCAAAATAGAACATAATCAAATTTATATAAAAACAAATTTGTATAAATTTATATAAAATTTATATATAATTTATATAAATTTATATAACTTATATAAACAAATACCGGTTGAGCAGTGGACGAAAGTCCTTTAGCTTCAGGATGAAGAAAAGCGAGAGCTTTAAGACAAACGAATTCTTGTTCCCTCATATGCAATTGACGCATTGGCCATACAATTTCATCCAGAACACGAGGAGTTATATTGCTCGTCTTGAATGCAGCAAAACCTTAAAAATTAAAAGAAAAATTAAAAATTAGTACAAAAAGCATATAGGTTCCATAAAAATACGTCATACGAATTATCACAAAATTCATCATAAAAAATAATGCGAAAGTTGAAAATTCCAAAGCATAAATTTTATGTTAAATTCTGGTAATTATGGTAATTACGCCAAAATGAAGAAAGTTGTCAGAAACTTACTAGTAAATTCATTTTGATTCTGATTCATAAATGTATTACTGAAGAGACACGCTCGCGTCGAATCAGGAGAGCGAAAAGCAGGCAAAAGTATTAAATGTTGGGGAGCATAATTTTTTAATAAGATGATCTTATCATCCATTGCCAAGTCAGGAAAAGGAGATAAATTCTTGGCCCATTCGACCTGAAACAGAAGAACCTTGGATTAACAAGATTATGTAGCTAATAAAACTAATAAAACACGAAATAAAAAAAATTAAACCAAAAGAAAAATATATTAGTAGAAGAGCATTATACAATATGCATTACCTTTGGCTGACTCTACTGATCATTGATGTATGATATTTTTGCCAGAAAGAATCATTCATCTGAGAGAAGAAATGAAAAATTCACAGTATTATGTGGGACTGGTAATAGACCAGCTAACATAACTGAAGGCAAGAAAATGGAATAATTAAAATTAACCATTAAAAGCAAAGTTGTCCGCGAAATTTCATTGAGTTCCTCAATAGTATATGGACGAGATGTTTGTGTAAATGCTGATGAAGAACCTCGACAAACATTAGAGAATGAGGAATTAATTGCTGATGATGATGTCGAAGACGCTATTGACCCACGATGTCTAGCGAACATTTCTTCATTCACTCTTGCTTCCATTTCCATAAGAACATCGATTATATTCATTCTATAACTCGTATTATTTCCTTCAACTTGATTTGAATATGTGCTTACTATCTCATTTGGACCATGAGTTGCACCATGAGACAATAGATTAATATTTCGTTTTTTTGGCGAACCAATCGAATCACGTTCAAACTGTATAGCTGAAAAAACGGTAAATTGTGGTAATTCCAATATTATGGCTGAAAAATTAGCAGTAGGCTGATGATCATTATTTTTGATTCTATAGTTTGTCTTTCTTTATATGATTTATTTCAATTATTTCTTTTTCTTCCTCTAATGCCTCACCTCAAAACTGAGATAAGCTAATTCTACTAGCCAAAAGGTGAGGGATAACAGCAGATTTGAAAATATTAATCAAAAAATATATTAACACTATAGTGTTCTAAAATAATATGAATAAAAACTAACCTTCACGTTTCATTCCCACACTAATACATTTTTGAAATCTGCAATATCGACAAGAACAACGAAAATTCTTATCGATAACACATGCTTGATTGAAACGGCAAATAAATTTTTGATTCCTTAAAACTGTTCGCCGAAAAAACCCCTTAAAAACTTGGTTTAATGCATTAAATTTAACAAATAATTATGCTGAATAATTTATAAAAGTTAACACTAAAATAAAGTAGACTAAAACAGATTTCTAATGAAAATTAGAATAATAAAGAATAATTTAATAATTTAAATAGTAAATGAAGCAAGTTTTCAAAAAATTGAAAAATACAATTTAACAAATACCCAAAAATCCAATTATAAAAAATTATAGAAAAATACCGAAGTCTTCAGACTTTACGCTAAAAAAATCGAAAAGAAAAATAAAATCTCAGAAAAAAAACAAGAAATACGTAAAAGCATGAAATGAAAAAAATATTCGCACCTTACACCCGTTACAGGAAACCACACCATAATGAGTACCCGTTGATTTGTCACCACAGACTGCACACGGTTCCGATATGCCCTCCACTGAAAGAAATTTTAATTATAATTATTAAATTCAACTAAATGAAAAGAATTTTCTTGAAAAGAATTTAGATAATAAATTAAGTGTAATTTATAATCCAAAATAATATTTACCCCTCAAGTAACTCAAAGTTTCAGAAATTGAAAAAAATGAGAAAACGAGAATCCCGTACAACTTATGATGACGAGACAGGATTTGAGGATATTTAGCGACACCGTAACGGAATTTCGAAATATTTAGAAAAAAAGCAATATCTGAAAATGCTGAAGAGAAAGGAAAAGATAACAAGTGTGCAAAGGAAATATAAAGTGGTTCTTAATTAAACTCTGAAAGCTTTTCGTAACTATAAAGGAAGATGCTGAGAGCAGAGAAGCACGACAGGGTAGGGAAATCAAAAGGAGTTTAAAATGAACCGTAATGAATTAGACTGCATAATCAACAAGAGTAAATGATCTTACGGTGCACCTAATTTCACCTTTCTCTTTTTTAAATTAAAATAACCTACATATTTCATCTTCGCCTTTACATCTTATTCAAACTGTTCTCCTATTCCAATTCATTTCCTATAAAATGCAATAAATCTTCGATAAAAGTCAACATCAAACGAATATTTCTATTAAATATCAATTCTTGTTTTCCGCCTAATTTACCCAATCTTCAATTGTGCCAAATAAATTTAATCCAATCCTTTTTTAAAATTACCATTCAATTTAGTTTGTCAGCTTAAAAATATCGCAGATATTTGTGAAATAATAAATTCTTTGGAAAAGATTTAGTTCAATCCGCAGGATTAGAAAAAACTGATAGAAAAAAATTTTCTTTTTAAAAGTCCTCACTATTAGTGAGTCACCAGCGTCACCCAGATTTTTGCACAGGTTTACTCCCGAGGGGAATCAAACCCCAGCATCGGAGCTCCCAATTGATGACAACCCACTGAGCCATCCTATTCCCGATAGAAGAAAATAAGGAGCGATATTCAAAAAATATATTGAACCAAACTGTGGCTTTTATTTATAGGAGAAATATGAGGTACTAAGGGTAAGAGAAGAGAGATGACGGAATTCGAAGAAACAGAAAGGGGACGACAAGTTTTGCATATCTTTTTGCTTTTTCTTGACAAACAGTAATAATGGCAAATAATTAATAATTTTTAATTAAACCAATATTTGCCAGCTGCTATGGCTGGCCTTCTTAAGACAAACAATATGAAAATTTTAATTTTTGATATATTCATCCAATTTTTCATAATTTTTTTCCAATTTTTTAGTAATTTCTTCTTTATTTGGAAAATATTATTTCTTAAATATTATTTCTCTTTTTTTGGCAAATAATTATGGAAATTTACTTCGTCTTAAATGTATAAATTTAGAAAATTCGGAATTTTTAGTTTTTCCCGAAAAACTAAAAATTCAGAAAAAGAAATAAAAACTTTGGAAAATGTGAAAAAAGTAATTACTGAAATCCATTCGCGCAAAATAATTCGATTCGGACGAAACTTGGATTGCACAGAAAATTTTAACAGCAAATATTATTGAAGATGTAACAGATTCCTATAAATGTAAATCGTTTTCATTATAATTATAATTAATTATAAAAGTCGTCTAAGGAAAGGAAAGTCCACATACATAGAATTTGCTCGCGAATCGAGATAAGTACTCAAAATCCGTCAAGGAAGGCGAGAACCTATCCGTTAACACTTTGTAAGATGCTGGCTATAGCTACTTGGAACGTCAGACGCATATGGATGTTGCAAGCCAAGCGATCACTATCCACACCCTCTCTAAATACCGCGTGGATGTGGTCTGTTTGTCGGAGGTCCGTCTTCTTCATGTCGGCTCCTGAATTATTAAACCTGGTTCCGAGCAAAGATATTATATTACAGTGGTGTCTCGGATAACTTGTGGCGAAATGGCATAGCGATTGTTATGTCGGAAAAGGCTCGATCAGCTTTGATTGAATGGAAGAAATGACCGTATGGCCTACGCGCATTTCAAAGGAAATTTCTGCAATATTTTGGTCATCAGGGTATATGTTCCAACTTTATGCGATAAGGATAAATTCTACGCAGAACTTAAACTGTTAATAACATCCCTCCAAGAGGTGACATGGTCATACTCGAGGGAGACTGGAATGTGCACGTAGCTCACGATGCCGTCTCGATGAACTCGGTAATTGGCAAATATAGCATCGGGGTCCAGTGCGCCAATGGAGAACGCATTCTTTGTTTCGCTGAAAAGCACGAATTCTTTATTACTAATTATGCTTTCGGCATCGTAGAAAACATCAAGTCACGTGGAATTTTCCGGACAACCAATATTCCAATATCACTAAATACTGATCAGTTACAAATGGAAGAGTTCTGTATTAGATAATCGTTCCTATCGGAACCCTGAAACTGGTAATCTTCATGGATAAACCATGTTATGGTTCGAGCCAAGATTTACATGAAATTCACAACTCGCAAGAAACAATTTTCCCAAGATCTTTCAACTATCTCAAATTAAAAGATTCGGGGACAGCAAGTGCATTTCAAACGGAATTATTTAAGCAACTCAGTGAAAAGAACATCAATGATATTGCTGAAATGGCAGTTAAATACTGGTTTAAACGTATATTTCAAAAAGTCAGCCATTTCCACACTAAGATATGCTAGCAGAAAATGCGCTAGTCGGGTATAGGAAGCAGTTGTCTGAAAAGCATGTATGTCAGGATATTATGGCTATCGGATGCTTCGAAGAATTACAATGACAGCAGCACGGTAGGACAGAAATCGCTATTGAAAGAAATGGCCTAGAGAATGGAGACGGCGGCTTGGATAGGTGATAAATAAAAAACTGTTTCGCCTTCTCCGCAAAGCAACTATAAATCAAGAAGGGGTCTAAAATGGTAAGGGATATTAATGGGATGCCTATTAAAGCTCAAGGATCGCCTCAGAAGATGGAAATAATTTTTTGAGCCAAACTTAACCAAGATGGACTATCTGTAGTCCCAAATATAACTGCTCGTCCAGCGTTATGCTTGCAACTGTGAGTCGCCAACAGAAGAGCAAATAATCTCTGTAATCCATAAGCTTAAGGCCAATAAAACTCCCGGAGATGGTTTTCCGCCAAACTCTTAAACGTTGTCCATCATCGTTCATAATTTACTTTCAACAAATATATTCTCTGGTATGGCAAAAAGAAATAATACCAGAAGATTGAAGCATAACGATTTTGCTTCCAATTCCTAAGAAAGGTGACAGGATGTACTGTGACAATCACCGACTAATCAACTTACTGGATATCTCCGGAAAAATTTTCGCTTCCCTTCTGCTAAATAGACTTATGGCAACACAAGATAACAGAATGCGTCCTAATAAAGCTGGATTCAGACCGGGCGGTTATGCTGACCAGATATTTGCGCCAAGAAGGGTGCTTGAACATCGCATCAAATACCAGAAACCCACCGGCACTTGCTTTATCGATTTTGATTCGATTGATAGAGCATCGCTCTGGAATGTAATGGAATGTGACGGTGTCCCAGAAAAGATCATTCGGTTCATAAAGGCATTTTATCAGCATACTCTGGCACACGTCTGTATATGGCGAATTGAAACTGACAGAGCCCTTCGAAAACTAGTCTCCGCCAGGGCTGCATCCTTTCCCCCACAATATTCAACTATGCCATAGACTGGGAAATGGACACTGTTTGTCGGCACTCAAGGGGTGTCCAAATCAGTCCAGAGCATCATATCACAGACCTTGAATACGCTGATAATGTAGTCCTTTTTGCTGACAGTTATGAAGAAATGCAAGTAATGTTAAATAACGTGTCAGGAACAGCAGCAAGAATAGGGCTCAGGGTCAATGCGACGATGGCATCAGACTGCGTCGCTTGGAAGCGTCTTACTCTTGTAGCCGCAGGAGCCAGTCTAACCAGTAATGATGAAAGGTGGAAGAAGAATAATTTTATCAGCCACTAAATTGTCGACTAGCATTTGAATGGGGCCAAGGAACATAAATTCCAGTTCTGTCCCTTGTAAATAAAAAATCGAATAATGCAGAAATCCGAGCAGCGCCGAAATCCTTTTCTATTCTTAAGTGATCCGTATCGAAGCAATGACACCTCAGCTGAAATAATAACCAAACCAGAAATGGCTCTAAGCTGGGAGAAACCCCACTGATACTCCTCCGCCACAGATAAATTCAAAAATGTAATTCAACAACACCTCTTTTTCAACGATAGGTTTACTACAAATATTTTTTGACAGAAGAAAGGGACAGGGAAAAGACATTTATCTGCAATGACAAAGAGAAAATTTCTAACCCTTTAAATTGAAAATAAACCCTACTCAATTCACTGAAGTTAAAATCAAAAGTTTATCAAAGTTAGAAATACCACGTGGATGCCATAAACCGCTGTACTAATTGGTACCTTACCGTCTGTTCTGTAAGGTAGCAATTTGCTTTCGATCAGCTGATCTGCAGGTTAGTGATAAAATTTTGCGGCTTTTTAGGTGATTGATTTGCCAGCCGATCTTTTTGGTTTTGTTGGATAAGTCACGAATCATTCTCGAATATATAGATTCTACATTTACTGGTTATTTACCTTTGTATTTTTTGTTTAGAGCACATGACTTTACTGGTTGGGGTCACTCCGTTGGCTTGCTTGACTAGATAACTGTACCGGGAAGTCACTTGGCGGTAGAAGTGCAGGTGAGTCGCCAGCACCACTCCGGGCTTGGTTACATAGTGGTGAGTGTCGGTGCCTATCACAGTTATATTAGAGTTCTAAAAAATTAATCTTTTTAGAACTCCATGTTGCGAGTAATCAGATGGGTATTTTCATTAATTTCTGGTATCTTTAAAGCGATTAGAAGAAATAAAAGAATTGATGATAATGGTGATAATGATGGTGATAGTATTACCATGGATATATCGTCCGATAACGAAGCGAAACGACAGACATCGATAATGGCATTTGTTATATCTTTTATCAATTATTTTAGCCAAATTTTCGCTTACAGAACGATTAAACAATTTTATAGGTTTTATTTATTTTATATTTTCATAACCAGCTGCACATTCTTTTGTCTCGTATGATAGATATAATCAACATCAAGATTTTTGTTGACAGTTTGTTTCTGTAGAATAAAGGATTTTAGTCTTTCAAGACAATAATCTAAGTAAACGATCTGAGTTATAAATCTTAAACGAAGATGTTAACACGGTATTTGCAGGAGAATGAATTTGTTCATGAATGAATTTGTTATGATCACTTATGGTGAAATTATGAATTTACTTAATTTACTTTTAGTGTTGGTGCTGGCCACGAACGACTGATGTCTGATGATATCTTAGATGTCGAACAACGTTTGCTGTCTTCATTGAATGCGAATGTAAATTCCATGTTTATTCCGGTCAGTTTTTCTTTAATAATGCATTTTTTTGCATGAATGATTAATTTGTTAAATAATTTTTCTTCCTCTGACAGTACTTGTAGTTAATTCTATTGAGAGGAAGAGAAGAGAATACGCGATGGGTTAACCTGATCATAGTTGTAGTATACCATTCGACCTTCTAATTAGTTTTTTGCTCAAAACTTGTTCTTTGTAATATACAATATAGGTAGTTAGAGTTCATTATATATTATATAAATTTATTATATAAATTTGTTGATTGAGTATCCTTGAAAATTTCTGTTCACCAAAATGCGTTCATGCGTTCAGATACGTCTTCAAAATAGTTTTATTTACACGATTTCCGCTAAAAATGGTTCTAACGACAGGAAAAGAATTCCAGTAGTATTTATTTCCATGTATATTTTTGGTATTTGTGGATGGGTAGGAAATATTGATCATATTGCAAAAGATCGAACTGTTTATGTTTTTGACCTTCTTGGTTTGTTTTTCTTCGACATATTTTAATTTTTTGTAAAAATCAGCTACATTGATTTTTAATTCAACAAGTTTAAATAATTTACTATTTTTGGTTTCGGAAGGTCTTCTAGACCCATTTTCAATCGCGATCCAACTCTTATCGAAGAAGAGTATGTTCGCTCGATAGAAGACTGGAGAATGGAGATGGGTATCGATAAAATGATTCTCGTTGCTCATTCTTATGGTGGTTTATATGTCATTTTGCCATTCTTAATTTTTTTCTTGCTAGTTACGCTTAATATTTTAAAAAGTGCTTTTTGTGAAACTGATATGGTGAGAAAAAATTCCAGATAAGGTTTCTTTAAGGTTTCTTTGTAAGGGAAATTGCTTTATTATAATTTTTAGTAATTTTTACAGCAACAGTGTTTTTTTTGAAAATATTTATCGGAAAGGAAAAAACCTTAAATTTCTCTCATTTTTTCAGGTGGATATCTTGCTGCTTCTTATGCACTGGCTTATCCGAATAGAATTTGTCACTTGGTGCTAGTTGAACCATGGGGTTTCGAAGAGAAGAAAAAGTGCAAGAGTCGACAGGTAAATATTTATATTTTTGCCAGTTATCGGCCAATTTTACATTTATTTCTAGAAAAGTATTTTAAATTTTGTTTTCATTTCTGTTGTTATTACTTTTATGAAATAAATTGTTGAAAACGTTGGTTAATACCACAACAACTGCAGCACGGCGGGGTAAAATTGGAGCGATATGGCCTTGAGAATGGAGATGGCGGCACGATTAGGCGATAATAGGAAACTATTCCGCTTTCGTCACAAAGTAACTCAGGGAACGCTTAATGCAATGGTACCGGATAGTAATGGTGTGCCAGTTAAGAATAATAAAGATTGCCTCGTAAGGTAGTAGGAATTCTTTGAAGCGAAACTTAACCACAGTGCGCCATTTGTTGCTCCCGTAAATAGCTAATTCGCTCGGTAACCATACGTTTGAAGTTACGAACAGCCAACAGAAGAGGAAATAATCTTTGTAATCCATAAACTTAAGGCCAATAAAAGCCCTGATGAAGATGGTCTTCGGGTCGAATTTTTCAAATGTTATTTATAACTTACCTTCAGCAAGTGGACTCTCTAATATGGGCGAATGAAATAATATCAGATGATTGGAGCAAAACAATTCTTCCAATTCCTAAGAAAAATGACAGGACATACTGTGATGACAGTTATTGAGTAATCAGTCTCCTAGACATTTCCGGACATTTTTATTTTCCTTCTGTTGAATAGAGTTGAATAGAGTTATGGCTGTACCCTTTGAATTGGTGTCTATCAAGGCTGCATTATTTTTGCTGCAACTATATAATAGATTGGATAATGAACTGGATAAATCACTTGTCGGCACTCAAGAGGTATACCAAGGTACCAATCCCGAGCATCGTATCACAGATCGCTGATACTGTAGTCCTTTATGCTGGCAGTTATGATAAAAAATGCAAATAATGGTAAACAATATCAATAATTGCAGCGAGATTCAGACGAAACGAAAGCCTATTCATTTTATTTACGAAAAGTTGATAAAATACCTATTTTTATAATTCTTTGCCGATTAAGGATGCCCATTTTCAAATATTTTGGATCCATTCTAATCCCAAATGGCCAAGAGAAAGACGAAATTACACGATGATTGCAGCTAAAACTGCTTTCTTCCGACTTCCGGATGGAACTTTTATGGACTCGAAATCACTACAAAAATGCGTAATCTTCATTTATGTTGTCGCAGTTCGCTCGATCTTGTTATATGGCTATGAATCCTGGCCATTAAGAGTGGAGGATATTAAAAATTTATCATTTGACCTTTGACCAAGTGCATTTCACGTATTTGCCGAGTGGATGAAACCACACATGATTGCATTCACTTTCGCTCAAATACCATTTGCATTAATACCACAGAATTCACTGGCTAGGGCATATTCTTCATCGCCCACCACAGGAGTTGACACATATTACTTACTAAACTTTGGAGTTAAAAACGAAATGGTCCAACCAAGACCTGGAATAACATGGACTTTCACTATATGGACTTTGACGATGGGTTGAAGAAGGATTGACTTCTATCTTTTTTAACGATTTCGCTTCGCTTTGACTATAAATTTTAGTTATTTTTTGCTCCTAAAATTGTTATTTTATTTAATTAACAATTTGAATATTTTTACAGATAAAACCGTCTGATTTGGTGCGAGTAACTGTGGGTCTTTTATCTTTGTTCACTCCTCTAGCTATACTGCGTTTGTCGGGTCCTTTCGGTGAGAAAATTCATTATTGAGATCGTTTTATTATTGTGTGCCTTTGTCAAGATCCAAGAATGATATTATATGAATTTTTTGAAAGTTTTTACCTGTTATTTTCATACTTGCTTTTCAATGCTATTCTGTTTTTAGTTGAATTTAAGTTTTATCAATATTAATTCATTACCTTTTTTCGTTTTTTGTTAAGCTTTGACATTATTACGAATCTTACGGCCCGATCTTCCTAACTATTTCAATGGGAAAAACGCGGATGCAATTTACGATTATATTTATAAGTGTCATATAAAACCACCTACGGGTGAAATTGCCTTCAGTAATATGAGTTATTCTCATGGATGGGCTAAGCGTCCTATGGTTGAAAGGTTCATTTCCATTTTCTAAAAAGTTTTTTCAAATTTTGGTTTAATCGAAACTTTGCAGTAAAAAATTATGCGATGCCTTTGTTATTTCTGATTATTTCTGATATTATTTGGTTATTATTTCATAGTATTACTTTTGGTTTTTTAGGTCTTTTGATCTTGAAGTTTCTACAACGTTTATATATGGAAGTAGAAGTTGGATGGACCACACGCTTGGCCATTTGATTAAATTTCAACGTCCCGATGTTGATACTGATATCCATGTGAGGTTTCGCGATCATAGTTAATTTAAAATTTTTCTTGTAGATCTGCAACTTATGTTTCCTTTAGGTTATAAGAGGTGCAGGTCATCATGTGAATATGGACAAAAAACAATCATTCAACGATTTACTTCATCATATTGTCCTAAAAGTTGATTCTAATTTAATATATTGATTAAAAAATTTATCTCATAATTCGGCAAGTGAATTTGTTTATCAGTAAATTGGTTAGATTTAAAATTTGTATTTTTTGAATTTTGAAAATCTTTATTACAAAAAAATTGATATTTATCAATTTATTGATAATGTGGATTTTTGCGTTACTGTATTGAGAGATTTATAGATTTATTTATATTTAAAAAGTCTATCTGTAATTTTCGGAAATTTTGAAATTTCGAAAATTGTTGATTTCCTTTTTATTATTTGAATTTGATTATTTTTCAGAGTAATTTATGATCAATTACGACATTTGGTGCGATTCTGAGGCGGATGAGAGGATTATTTAATAATAATTTATATCGCTGCTCGTTGGCAACTGGGTTCTTCGAATAACTTTGTGAGGTTTTTATCATTTCGGTTGTTATCGGTTTAGGATAACAAATTTTATTTTTATAAATTTCATGGTTCATTCACGTTTTGATTGGAAAAATTACTTCCTGCAACTGATTCGCATCGTGTCCTTTATTTAAATTATTTAAATATTTAGCTAAAAAGATGAAGTTAAAAATTTATAATTTAAAAATTTAAAATTTAAATTTAAAATTTATATTTAAAATTAAAATTTAAAATTTATTTATAATTAATTTAAAAATTTAAAAATTTAGATTAAATTAAATTTAATCCTTGATTCTATAATTTCTTAGTCGTAAAGATTATTTTTCAGTGTATAAGAATATTTTGAAGAATATATTTCTCCATATTTTAAAAATTTTCTTTACGAATAATGCTTGTTTCTGCAGGATTTCTCTGTATTTATTTTTGTTTGGAAATATATGTTCTTTTGGTTCGATATGGAAAATATTCGATATCGAAAGCAAGGATCTCCAATTTTTCTACATCGTATCTCATTTTTATTAACATTTCTTGGTAACATTTTTTGATCTTTTTCTTGTGAAATCGTATATTTATTAATATAATCTTGTTATATAACACAATTATTAGTATAGTTTATTTCAAATTTACTATGTATTTTGTTGTTCTTTCCTCTTTTAATAACGTTACCCTATATGTTTTGACTGACTTCACCACCAAATTCAGATTTTTTTGCTAAGGAGTCATTTATGGGATAGAAATTGAGATAGATTTTCTTTTATTCCCATTTTGTTATTATTATTCCCATCAAGGAACGGAGATCGAACGCATAATTTTAAGCGATCAGTGGGGCATTCTACTCCTATATTTAGTTATCAGGAATATTTGTAGCAGTCCATCGTACTTCATACTTCGGTACCTTATGAAGCTATATAATATCCCAATTTTGTCCACAATTTATTCACCTATGATGATAAGATTCATTAAATTTTATTTTATTTTAAATAGGATTTGTTGGTTTTTTTTGTATTTTCCCAACTATAGTAGCAGAATTTTAATATTAATAAAAATATAATTTATAGGTAAGGCTTTGAGAGGTTTAAAACAAGGTTGTTTAAGGTAATTTTTCTTTATTCAATTTTATTATTTTCAAAAATAAAAAATAAAAAATTATGTAATAAATTTTAAAAATAAATAAAATAAAAAATTTTTCAACATGGCACGGAATCAGCAATAAGATATATTAAAATATATAAGAAAGATATATAAGAAATATTAAAATCATTTTTTAGGGGAGTGGGGAGGGGGAAGAGGAGTAATAGTTTATCATTTTGAATTGTTTGGGTTGTCTTTTTTCATATTTATAATTTTTTAAGTTATATTTCTTATTGAAAACTGGTAGTTTTAATAGTTTTTTTTTAAATTAGCATGGTAAATGTACGATAATTTGAAGATAAATAATATTCATACTTTTGCCGTATAATTTTCTTTTTTAATTTGAATATTTTTTTAAATTTTTTTTAAAATGAAAAGCGTGAATGTAAAATAAATTGGCAAATATTTGTACTTTCGCCATAAAAAAAAATGTCTAAAAAGCATATAATGTGGATTTGCATTCACTTACTTGAAATGGAAATTTATCATTAAAATTAATGGTTCATTAAAATTTATATAAGACGTCATAATTTGTTGGTTTTAAATAAAAAGCATCTAATTGAAAGCAATTGATCTAAGAATAAATCATCATGAATAAGTTATTAACTGGGTTTTGGGTTTTCTGATGGATGGATGGATGACATGGTGAATAAAATTGTGACAAATTAAATAAGCCGGAATTGAAAATAAAAGTCGAGTTTTCTGAATAATCAAAGGTTTTCAAAATAAATCAAAGGTTTTCTGAATGATTTCAGGAAAAATTTTTAATGTAATTGTCCCTCTGTCAGAAGTACTGACATATCAATTATTAAATCAAAACTAACGATAGTCCATAAAGGAATTACCTGTTTGAAAATTAATTTAGAAATTGAATAATTCTAATTGTCAGGAGCTGTTTTTTTGGTTTAATAATGTTTATTTATTTGCTTAATGGGAGGGGAGTGAGTAGGGGAGGGATGGTCAAAAAGGGAATGGTTGTGCACTTATCTTAATATGAACAAATATTTAAATAATGTTAAAAAATTAGAATTTTAAATTTAATGACATGAAAATAATTTTTACAATAACTTGCAAGAAAAGTGAAACAAATGGTAAACGGTTCATGACCAGCAGTTCTGGTGAAACTTTTTTCTCTGGTCCTCTGGTTTCCTCTGGTTTAAGAATATTTACCAGAGAATCATGTAGCGAAAGAAATGAAGGTAAATAAAGGTTAATTGATTTAAAAGCCACCTCTAGGATAACATCACCAGATTTTATTATGGTAGATTTGCTTCCAGTCGGAGATGCGAACCCTAGCCTCACAGCAACCAACCAATTACAGTTATGCTGTCCGTTAAGAAAAATAAACGGAAAGAGTTTTAAATATGAACACTGGATGATCTTAAGAATCTGCAATTTTTATTGCCAAATGAATAAAAATGCAGTTGGGAACAAAAATGACAATTAATAAGATTTTCTTAGTTGCAAAAAATTTATTAATCTAACTTTGTTTCTTGAGGGAAATTGGTGAGTGACTTTGTTTTTTTCTATTAGAATCGTTGAATAATATAAGCCAGAATCTCCAGAAACTCGAGGGTCAGAATGAGGGAGTGTCCGATGAAGCATTAGATGAATAAGTAAAGTGGTTCCATGCCACAAATTTCTTACTAAGAAGATATTTTAAATAAATGTAAATCCTGAATTAATGAAGTAATACAATCAGTTATTGCCTATAAAACATTTTTTTAATTATTTTTTTCATAGTTACGAAGTATAAGGAGTTGCTTTAAACAGAAGTATAAGGAGAGGCATAAGAACGGAAATCGACTTTCAGAGCCACTTGGATTTCAGAGAGGCAGACCCATTTTCAGCATCACTCTGGTCCTAGAAGGGCATGTCGGTTTCCGTTTGGGTTCCATTTTTAATAAAACATTTCCTTCCATCAAAGCAACTTATGATGCTAAACTTCAATCGAAGCAGTATACCACTTCATCTAGAATTATAATTTATTTTTTGCTTATGTAAAATCATATTTTTTATAAATGGCTTTCTAAAAAAAGAATCGAAAGATTAATTGCTTAGGAAATCGTTTTGAAATCTGTCGAAAATTATTCAAAATTGCTTCATTTATAAATAAAAATTTTTTAGTCATTATCGAGGAATAAATATAATACAATCGTAACTAAGTGCCTCAGTGGCCCAGTGGCAAAACAGTTGCCATCTGGAATTGAGGCTTCGGATCCGCACCAGCTTTGTCGGGTGTCGCTTAACGGGGAAATTCATAGTAGTGTTGAACTGTTCAATGCATTATCGTTCAATTCGGAGTGCCGATGGTTAGGTTCTTGGCTAGGTACTCCCGGCAGGAAAACCTATCCAAAAATCCGAATGATGATGGTGACTCATCTGTACTTCAATTGTTGAGGGATTTTGGTATGTTTTTATGGCACCTTAAAAATTCAAAGTAAATGAATTCAGAAATTATTTAAATTTAACGAATAAACATGTCCAGAAATTCTGGAACTTTCATGTTATATCGAAATGGCAAATTATACGATAATAATAAAACAGTTTTCAATTCACTCACTCATTTCACCATTTCAGTTGCCTTTTTTTGACATCAATAAATAACCAATAAATTTTTTTATTATATTAAGTCATCGCTAGTGAGTTTACTTTAAAATATTCGATGTTATGATGAATTTGTGTACGACGGGTTTAAGAATGGTAGCTGGAATTAACTTACTGTTCTAGGACAGAGCATATAAATATGCTTAGAAGGCAGAATTTACTAGTAGTTGTTGCTTATTTACACTATCTCCTGCTTTTTTATCCCTGGAAAAGCTCACCAGTTAAAGCTCACCAGATTCGAGCAATGCTAGCGTCCAACACGTATTTTCTCTAAAAAACCTTTTGCAAGGCGGTCAAGTGTTGTTATAAGGAAATCTCTATTTATTTGTTTTCATTCCACTACTATGAGACGCTTTCGCCAGAGAGTCAATGGGAATAATAGGGAGATTTTCAACATCGTGGACTTTGATGACAATTTCACACAGTTCTGTTAAAGAATAAGAATAAGAATTCTTGATGCTTAACACAGTATAAATAATATACTGCTGGACCATTATTCCATAAATAGTTACTTTGATTATAAACAGGCAAGCAAATTTTCTTGTGAATTATCATTTTTTTCTTTGATTTGTCTCTCATTGTCTCTCACAGGTGCAAATTTGATCAATGGAGAAGAATAACTGTCCGTATGGGCTCTACGTATATACGGCTAGGTCTTAGCTATAGCAGCTTGGAATTTCAGAAAACTTTTGGACGCTGGAAATCGGACGATAACCATCCATACTAAGTCCAAA